GAAGTATGACCTTTATGTTATCAAAGGACTAGGTCGACAACAGATCTAATATGTATCTCGAATGATTCTTCAAAAACGTAGTATAAACCAAGTCGTGATTTACAATCAATATCTCTAGCCAGTTTAAATGAATATAAAAACAAAACATGATCAACATTTTATCGACTCACAAAATTTTTAGATATTTGGTGTGTAAAAATGTATAATAGCTGGAATTAGAAAAAGCTGAAATGTAACTGTTCAGGAATTTTTAAGAACTACAAATGCAAGCACACTGCTAGTATGGCTATTCATTTCAAATATTGCAAACCACCACCATCAGCAAAAACAGTTGCTATTGGTTAGAAAAGAAAAAGAAGTAGATCAGCTATGGCTAAATTCGACTCACTAGTACGATAATTTCATTTTCTCTTTTCTCACTTGTTCTTTCAATTTCTATTAAATGTTCTTTCGGATTTTTTCTTATACTATGGTACTTCATAATTTTCAGGTGCAACTAAATAACAACCCTGAATTTATACATTAGCAAACGGTATTAATATTCTTCATAACATTGATATCGAATTGATACAACAGTTCTTATGGGAATAAATAACTTCATTAAAAAGAATTGAGCCATTCATTATATTTTTTTTAAGTTCAAACGAGCACGCACTTTTCCAGCAGATTGACAATACAACAAAATATAAACATTTCTGTTAAAATAAGATCATCAGAAATCTTACTATTTCATTGGTTTTCTTATGAATTTTGTAAACTTCAAATGTACCTCAAAAAATCCGGAGCTCTTCATGAAATTTCATGGAATTTCGCAACCGAAGTCTTAGTTATTTCTCCCTCGTGAATTTCTTAACCTGATGTGAAAAACAGGACAAAAGAGAAAAAAAATCAAAAAATAAATTACAATAGTGTTGATCAAATATTAAACCAAATGGTTCTGTGGGTTGTTCTCTCAAAGAATGTAGGTGCAAATTTTAGTTTTCTCTTCATTGATACACAAGACAAAACAAATGAGAATAATTGAAATAAATGCTGATGAAATTATGCTTACAATGTATTCTATTAATTCATAGAATGAATGAAAACGATGTTCAATTATGGCTCAGACAGCATGAATTGTTTCAATTTGCACAGCATTTAAAGGATAATCTAAGCGGGCAACCTGAATTTGCTCAGTTGGGATGCATGAGATCGATTTCGAACCATCAGATTTGCGACTTCTGGATATCATAGTTTGAAACCGTTTTCACGAGTCGTGTAAAAAAATGATGTATGAGTAATCAAAAAGACAAGTAAGAATAAAACGTTATAAATGGCGTCAATGTTTGCATTTTGCATTAAAATATTGTGTAATAATCGTTTATCGAAAATGTGAAGAAAAAAACAATATTTTGTTGAAAAAACTTTTTTCTACTGTTGAATTTCTTCACTAATATCAAGTAGTACGACTCATAGCATTTAGTTAAAATTTGTTTACCTAGAATTGCAATACCACTGAATAGATTATTTCAAGAGATGCAAGGTCATGCATAATTTGATTCGAAATAAAGATACAAATGCGTTGAAAATCAACATCATTTTCCGTTGATAGAGAAAATGGCAGTTCATGGCTGACATCCAGTCATTTTTGTCGTACTAGTAATCTTTTAGCCAGAAAAAAATGTCGTAGTCAAAACCAGCATAAAAAGTTGGATCGACCTGAGTATATCCAAATATTCTCTGACAATCTTCATTTTCCATCACAGTTTTCATTCGAAACATAATGTTAGTTTGGACTGAAATCGAGATGTCCACTATCATATCACAATGGAATCATCAGACTAAAGAGATAAGCATTAGCGCTTAAATCGCTGAATATCAACGACAGATTACATTTTCTATCTCCAATGAAATTGTATTGATTTCTAGAACATTCACACTTGTATTTCGAATCAAATTATACATGACTACGCCTCTCTTGAAACACTCTATCGAATAGTATCGGATTGGAAATAGGCAAGGAGATATTGTTTTTTCTTGATATTTTTGATAAAATATTGTTATACAAGCCTTTTAAACTGCTTTTCAGAACATATCTATTTATGACTAAATATATTGAATAATCTAGATCATCGTATCGTCGTTTGTCTGCAAACAGGTCATTCAAAGCCACTTGGTTACATTTTCTTAAAAGTTTTTATCAACCGGTTGTCTGATGAGCGACAAGCCGCCATTTGATAACCGTTACGATCGTCCCCTGTCGACAACATAATTGTTTTTGTCAGACATCGAACAACGGGATTTTTTTCAGTTATAAATCTATTTCTTTTCTTCTTCGTTCCTTTTCTTGGTGATATCTATTGTTTCTGATGATGAGACAATAATTTGGCTATATGCTGGTGAAATTCATTGTTTATCCTATTGTTTCGTCATACTAACATGAACAATTGACATCAATTAGAAGAAGAAGGAAGAACGAAAGGAACAAATTTACAACTATTAATTAATTTTAGTTGCTTTATGTCTGAAAAGGTATTATTGTTATGAGAACGTTAGAAATGAAATGCAACTAGAAGTTGAAAAGAGAAAGAATATTTCGAAACGAATCTAGTCATTTTGCTTTTTTTACGAAAACTAAATGAGACTATACTGTTTAAAATACGATAAAAATCCTCTAACCAAGTGAACTAAATAAATCAGAAAAATGTGCAACAATTTTCTTTTTCAAATCTTAATATATATATATATATATCGAGCTTCAAATCACTTTTTCAGAAGACTCCAGACAGGCGTTAAAAATTTGAGAGAAAATCGATCTAGACTTTGTGCAGTAAAGGACATCATATTCATCACACTTCTTGTTGATTGTATTCGTCAAAAGTAATGCAAAAAGTAAAGATCATTTTATTAAATTTATCATTTTGGATCATATTTAGTTTTTATTTTATCTCATGGAAAAATTGTAGAAAAGACCAACATTCGACGTAAGAGAGTCTTTGTAACTATGCTTGTTCAATATTGATCAATTCTTTTTTTCGACAAACTTCCCTTTTTATATATAAAGATTATCGTTCATTTTAGTTGAAATCAGTGCGTTATCTAGGTTCTTGCTGTCATTCAAAAGACATTTATAATCAAGAAAAAAAAAAGATCAAGCATCACCTTTATTTTGTTCAATGACGAAAAATCATACGGAATTATCACAAAATCATTAAATAAATAAAACACAGAAAATCTTTTATTTATTGAATTAGTGTCACTAAATAAATGCTTTTCAAACTAATACATTCATTAAGTTTTTCTTGTCATACTTTTGAAAACTCAAATGACACTAATTCATTATATAAAAAAATATATTAAGATATATATATATATAAATATGAGATTCATTTCATCACAAACGATAATAGACCAATAAAGCTAAAGCCAATAAATACACAAATAACTTTGACAATACGACAACGATTTGGAATATTTGATGAACTATGTCGATGATAATTAGACATATTTAATTCATTTGGTAAAATATCAAAAAATGTAATATAAAAAAATGTTCCACAAGCAAAAGTACGTAATATTTCGTTGAATATTTTTGCTGTACGATTTTCTGGTAATAATTCTTGCATACTAATTACAAATAAAATTCCAATTGGTGTTGCAATTGAAATTAAAAAACAAGAAAAATAAATTAAACGTTTATTTGTCATATACATTAATTTTAATCCAACACTAAATGCTATTATTGTTTTATGAATAATAATAGCAAAAAATAATTCAATAAATGTTTTATATTCATTATTTGAACCAAGTGCAATACCTTCAAATATTGAATGAATAATTAAAGATAATATTAAAATAAAATTTCTTGTTATAAATAAACGATTTTTATTTGTCATTAAATCATCTTTATGTTCACTTAATTCAAAACGTTGTTCAATAGTTATATTTCTATTCATCAATGGATCATAATCATTTATATTTGTTAATGATGTTTCATCATCTTCATGTGACATTATTATAGGTGGTTTTTTATTCATATGTGCTATTGAATGTATTGAAACTATACGAAATGATAAAATTATTTGTTCAATAAATAAAACTAAAAAAATTCCACAACCAATTAAAAATTCAGCAATAGGATAATGTTTTAATATTTCATTATCATATTGAAATTCATTTTTAATTGTGATATTAATATGTTGAATAACTTCAGGTAATAAATCAAGTAAACATGCACCAAGAAATATGCCGCCACCAAAACAAGTTATACAATTTAAAAATGTTTTCAAAGAACATAATGAAAATTTTGATCGAGTAGAATTTGATTTGGTACGATTTTTAATCCATGAAAAAAGACAAATAGGTATAATTGAAAATAAAAATGTCGAAAAGAAGAAAACAACAGAAAGAATTATTTTAATAACGTTGATATTCATTACAAAATTAATATAAACATATAGAAATCTAAAGTGAAAATAAACAAAATCTTAAGATTTTCTCAATGAATATATTTTTTCGTACAATTCATATAGAACTAATACATCTCAATGTATTTCTTATAACGTATGTCACAATCCTCTTCTTTTAATAAAATTATGACAGAATTAAAAATAATATCATTAATCAAAAATTAATTGTAAGATCGATTAATTCCAAAATATAGAAACAAGACAATCATATATATTTTTAGGTATTTTATTCAATATTCTCTAATCTTTCATACTATTCTCTTTTATTCGTTTTCCAATATTTATGATAATTTTAATAAATTTAGTTTGATTTTATCTTCAATCAACTCTAAATTTTAACATAGACTTTATTCAGAATATTGCCTATTATATTTCTTTTATATAGAACATTATTATTAATATTAGAAATATCTGCTCTTTTAAAAAAAAACTTTTATCATTTTTATAATGAAAATACAGAAATAAACTAATGTAGATTATATACATAATTTTATTTCATTCTTAACAATATAAACACTGGAAAGCGAAAAAAAGAAATATGCATTTCCATAATTAACTAGATTGAGGCGGTTGTTGTTTTGGATTTGATGATTTAGTATTTGCTGTTGATGACATATATGGTGTTTTTAATGACTAATAAAATATAAATATCAATGAATAGATCATTTTTTTTTCTTATTCTACAAAATAACTTACTGCTTTAAGTGCATCATTTGTTAAAAATTTTTTATATTGTTTTGGATCTTCTGTACCAAAACCTGGAATCCACATACTATATGTTCGTTCTAAAAATAACATAATATTTTAAATTATCTAATCAATTATGATTTTGTTATACCAAGATATAATTGAACATCTTTAGCTTCAACAGTATTTGATTTTCTATGTTTAGCATTTTGACATGAAGCAGTTAATGTTGAATCAACAAATTCTTCTGCTATTTGAATTAACATCTAGACAAAAAAATACAAAAAGAAATGATCTAAAATATGAATAATTGACTTTAAAGAATGATATATACTTCTTCGACTTCTTCATCTATTTGCATCATTGGATCAACTTCTTTAATTAATTCTTGAATAGCACGTTTATCCAAAAGCTTGAAAAAAAAATATAATAACCAAAAATTATGTTTTTTTTTTCCTTAATTTACACTTCGATCATTATCTCCTGTAGTTGCTCCTGTTGTTGGTGCTGTTGTCGTCGTATTTGTTGAGCGAGTAAAACCATTTTCATTTCGATATGCCATCTTCAAAAAAAAAACAAAACAAAAATTCCAAGTAATTTCGATCAATATTATAACATACTGTCATACGAATCAAAACATATTGTTTTCCTATCAATATTATCAGATACACTTACCACGAGAGACATCTATATGAAGTCATCGCTCAATAAATAAACTAAGAATATTTTTATATAAAATAGTTGAAAACTGGAAAAGCAATATAACTATCATCTACTCATTAAGAGCATCAATATATTCTTCTCATTTTTCAAATAACTGCTCCAATCAAAACCGTAGAGAGCAGCATAAACAAGATGTTTTCACTCAAAAATAAATATAGACGTAATTTTGCTTCTTATAAAGAGTATCATCTTCGATTCGAAATTAAATTTAGAATTTTATCATATCTAAATTCTAGCATAAGGCTTACTAATTCAACAATGATGAATCAAATGCATAGCTAAATCATTGACAATTAATAAAGTATGAGTCATTTTCGAACAGGCAAAACATGATAGTAAAATCTTTTATTTGATAGAAATTCAACAAATGAAAAGCAACGGTTATGAAATGCATTAATAACTTAAAAAATATCCTTGACAAATAAACGGACGGACGTACGAAGAAAGAATATGTCTGTCTATTCGAACAAAAAAAAAAAGAAAAAAACATTCTTCATTTTCATCATTGAGTAATATATATATTAATGTCTGTCATTCTTCCTCCGTTTTAGAGACTATACTTTGGACACCAAAAAAGAAAAGAAATCTTATAACATTCATTAAAAAAAAATATTTAAGTTTAAAATATGGGTGGTCCACAATATGATAGAAATTTTGGAGGTTATCGTGTATTTTGTGGTGATCTTGGTAAGTGATAAAAATACGGAAGTAGAAAACAAACAAATGACGTAATTTTATTTTTTTGTTTAGGAAGTCGTACAAATAAATTTGAATTAGAACGAGAATTTGATGCATTTGGTCCACTAGTTGATTGTTGGGTAGCACGTAATCCACCAGGTTTTGCTTTTATTGTTTATAAACATGCTGATGATGCTGAACGTGCTGTTGAAGAACTTGATGGACGGTAAGAAACAAAAAAATCTAAAGAATTTGATCATATTGAAAAAAAAATTAAATTTCTTTTTTGTAGAACTATTTGTGGACGTCGTGTTCGTGTTGAACATGCTCGACCAACAGGAGGTAAAAAAGGTGGATCATTTGGACGTGGTTATTTACGTCAAAGATCACCCGGGTATCGGTAAGTGAATTTTCTCAACAATAAAAGAAGTTTTTTATGCATTCCTTCAACTATCGTTTAATATATTTTCTAATGACTTACATTCGGTTGAGAGCAAAACAAAAAAAACAAAAGAGAAGAAAAAGAAATTCTTATTTACATTTTCCAATTGTTTTTTTTTTTGTTTTTCTCTCTTGTTAATCCCATTTATTTTGTATCCTATTGTTCAGCTTTGTTGCTGCCTATGTTCATCCATGATCATCATCTCAGTTGTTCATGTTCATCTATTCTGATCGTATTTCTACACATGTATACAGCGGCATTTCTACAGATACTTTTCAGCCAGCTGATCTCCTAATCTGCAGTTCTCTTCTGCGTATTCTTCTCTTCAAACAGTGAGTAATTTTATTTCAAAGTCTTTGACAAAAAAACATTGTGCGGTGGCATGAACATGCTATATATATTCATAGAATATATTTAAAGGATGATATGTTTTTTTTTTTTTCTTAAATGTCGTTGATTGTTTTTGAAAATGAAACAAATATTTAAAAACAAAAAGACTTTCAAAGTAAAAATATGATGTATATTTAGATCACCAGATTCAAAACGAGATGATGATGATCGACGACCAAATCGACGTGATCGTCGACGTTCACCAAGTCATTCACGGTAATATATTTATTGATTTTTTGATTTTTAATAATATCTAAATTTTTATTTAGATCACGTTCATCATCAAGAGAAGAACGTCGATCATCACGACGACATCGTCGTTCTCGATCACGTTCACATTCACGTTCAAAAAAAGAAAGTAAACGTAAACGTCGTTCATCATCAAGTCGATCACCGGTAGAAAAGAAGTAAGAAGAAAATATTAAATTAAATGAAAATAGAAATTTTTTTTTTTTCTTCTCTACTTAGAAGATCTCATCAACGAAGGTAAAATAAGAAGTATATTTTGTTTTTGTGAAATTTATTATTTTATTTAGTTCATCACGTGAACATTCATCATCACCGGTTGATAAAAATCGTGATCGTTCATCTCGATCACCATCAAAAGATGATGATAATAAAAAAGAAGGAAAGAAAAATGATATTGATAAATTAAATAATGAAAAAATTGAACAAGATGATAATGATGAAAGTCATTCATCACCAACACCAGGAGAAGCTGAAATGAAAAATAATAATGATGATGACTAGATCTATATATTCATTATGCTTGAGCTTCTTTTTTTTTTTTTTCGTTGTATTCCATAGTTACGCGCGTGTATTGTGTAAAGAAAATTCTTTCTTTCTTTTTGTTTTTCTTCGTTTGTTTGTGTGTGTTGTCAATGGCTTTATTTCTGTTCAACTGATCGTTGTATGTGCGTGTTTGAAGGAACAGATCATTATTTGAAATAAAACCAAGAGTCGATCACTATTTGATATTAGTTTATCTGATATATGCTACCACATATAAAGAAAATGCTGCTACTTAAAAAAAAAACAAAAGCAAAAGGATGTTAGAATTTTAATTGATGTAAAAGTGAATTCTAATTATGGAAAAAAGAAAGGTCATATGCTCTCTTAATATTTGATAACCGTATAGAAATTATACAATTTCCTGAAAATTTTATTGTAGATGTGAATAATTGAATTTAATAGTAGTAAAAATGCCGAAATCACGTAAAAAAAATGGTACATCGAGAAATATAACAGCTACAAATGCGTCCCCAATACCACTTCTTGATAGTCTTCGTGCACAAACACAAGTACTTGATGAACAAAATAATGATAATGAATCAGATAATGATAATTTTAAAGTATCGACAGCTGGTTGGCAATGTGATATTGATGATTGGTCTATTAAAAAAGCAACAAATAATGGACCAGATATATTTCCTCAAACAATACGTTCACTTGAACGTAAGAATGAACAAGCAAAAAATAAAATATTTCCATTAAGACAAATAATTACTGATGTTGATGAAAATAAAATCGAAACAAAAGAACATATAGATAATCGAATAAAGAAAACATCATCAAAAGATATTGATTTATTAAAATTAACTTCAATTGTAAATGATCTTATTACAGGTAAACATGATCAAACAGCTTATACGGATTTTTTATTAATACTTCAACATTTTTCTGTACATACATTACGTGATGATCATCTTGAAGAAACTATTTATCATTTAATACAAGCAGCAGTCAGTTTTATACGTTCAAATGAACAACGTTTTGATCCATCTAAATTACAAGAATGTTATCGACAACGATCTATTATCAAAACAAATTCTTCACAATAATTAATTTAAATAATATAATTGTTAATAATAATTGTATATTGGCTCAATAACTCTTCCATTCATAGAAATAAATAGAAAACAAAACAACAACAATTTTAGAACGGTATTACTAACTTATGCAAACATTACAACTAATCAACTTTTTTGAAATGACCGAAAACTAATGTTTCTAATATCGAGTACTAGACAATATATATATATATATATATTTACTAACATTTGTTTTATATAAATTTTCAAAATACGATTAACTTCGTTCAGAATTTTAAATCGATTGTTTATAGATATTAATATTGGTATAAGTATATATTAATATTCATAGACCTTCATATTATCAATTCAAAAAGACAATGATAACATATCGATAGAGTTAATCTTCATAATGATTCTGATTGATTTTTCATAGATGATCATTCATCAAAGCTAAAATAAATTGAATGAATTCGAAATCGTTTTATAGTAATTTTATTTCAAGTATCTTTGCTGATAGAAGTTGTAATTTGTAATTAATTTATTTTTCTAACGAGACGACTACTCACATTGATACTCGCTATTTGAGATTATATTTGTTTCACAAAGAGAGAGTGTTGATAAGATTAGAAAAATCCTATAATAGTTCTTGTCCGTAAGTCCCTGTAGCAGAATTATTATTATTTTATTGAATTTTCGCCTAAAACAAAAATGGATCATTTACTACAGATATGCCACACAAATCGAGTTTACTTGAAAATTCAGTATATATATAAAAAAAAAGTAACATTTTTTTTTCTTCTAGCTGATACTTACAGGAGATTCTACTAGTCATTCAAACTGTTTATGAGCAAAATTTACGATTGATATGTCGTTATTTGATTTCTTGGTGAAAAACTTAAATATTGAGACCTCCTTGTAACTCCAATATGAGTTTTATATATAGATGGGAAATAATGTAACAATGTGGAGATAAATCATTTTAAATTGAAATTTTCAGATTATTTTTGTGAAATAAAATTCATTTTTTTTTGCTGTTTTCTAACATATTTTCGAGATAACAATATACAAAAAGTTACTCGAATTGTGTATCAATCAGTGCATTTCTGTTTTTTTTTGTTATAGGCGTTAGTGAGTGCTGAAGATATGTTATCATTGTCTTCTACTTAATCATAAACATCTTTAAATGCTTTCCAATTACTTTCAGATGTTTATACTGAAAAAAAAATCTAATTCACCAATAATAATTCTTTGTCAGAATAGACTTAGTACATCTTTCTAAACTCTGCTTAGTTATGTCACTAATTTATACAAGTGTTCATGTTCAAAGAATGCATTTGAAACACTTTGCTAAGTGAATGATTGTTTAATCGTTTTGAAAAATTGCCTGTTTGTGATATCAGCATGAATAATTAATAAATCAAATTGAATATTTTTCTTTTCTATTTTAAGTGCATGAAATATTCTGATAGAAAAATAGTAAGACTAAGATTGTCAGTCTGATCTTATAATTTTGAAAATGAATTAAATAAAGTTGCTGAAGATTTTAATCAAATGAATAATGTATTATATTGTTGTTGTTCTGTTTTTTTTTCCATAAATAAACACAAACAAACATACAGAATTTCGCATATACAAGACAAAAATGAAGAAAAACGAAAAAAATAAAATTTTGTTTAACCAAATTTGCCAGCCGGATTGTAATATGGTCGACGAAGACGTGATATACGCCATGAATTTGGTTCTTCGTATTTGTTGTATAATGGTTCGACACGTTGTTCTTTTTTCATCTTTGATAATCTTGTTGAATCTCCAAATTTGAAAAATTTTGGTGCATATTCAACAAGCCATTTTGGATCAATAACACAAACTTCACGCATATATTCTTTTGTTGTAAATACAAGTTCATGATAACAAAGCCTAAATAAATTTTATATTAAAATTATTTTAACAAAAAAAAAAAAAAAAATCTTATTCATACCATTCAGGTTGTCGATGATAAATTGAACTTGATGGATGAATATAAACAACTTGACTATCGACTAATGTTCGATAACCTATAATAAATATTCATAAATAAAATTAATTCTTCATAGTTTTATTAAATATTTACCTTCTTGTGGATCACGTTTAGCTGCATTACGAAAGAAACCAGAACATATTGCTTTTTGAACAAGTCCAGTTTGTCTTCCACATGATAGAACATCGAGTTTATGTCTTTAAAAAAAACAAACAAGTTATAATTTATCTTCTTGTATTTATTATGAAAAATAAAAAAAACACTTACCGATCCATAATTCCTAACATTTGTTTACGAATATCTTGTGCACGTTTAAGTGAACGTTGTTGTACAAAATTTTCATAACACCATAAATTTGAAAATTTATTTTGTTTCCAAGCATTATAAACAGCAAGTAATGTTAAATGATCACCTTCAGCTTGATGAAAACGTGCTTTACGTTGATCAGCTTGTTCGGCTTTTTCTTTAGGACGATAGAAAACATTTTGAACAGAAAGCATTGAAACAATAGTTAATGCTTCTTCAGCACAACGTAATTCAACAGACATAATTAACATTTTTGATAATTGAGGTTCAAGTGGAAATTCTGCCATACGACGACCAAGTTTAGTTAAAAGACCTTCATCATCTAATGCACTTAATGCATGTAATTGTTCCATAGCCATAATCATTGTTTCTAATGGTGGTGGATCCATAAAATCAAATGATAATAAATCATTAATACCCATAGCTTTTAAACTTAAAACTGTACTAGCTAAATTTGTTCGTTGAATTTCAGGTACATTAGTTGAAAGCATTTCATCACGATATGCACGTTCCGTATATAAACGATAAGCTTTTCCTGGACCTGTTCGACCTGCACGACCCATACGTTGTTTTGCTTGAGCCTAAAATAAAATTTCGTTTTATTTATTTATTTTTGTTGATTCTCAAAGAAAACTTATTAGTACAATCTTTTTCAAGGATTAAAATATGACTTTAACTTAATCCTATAAATTTGAGATTGTCTTTTACCAAAGGAAAAAAAAACTAACATACTTGACTAATTGGTGTTACAACAAGACTGTCCATGCCCGATTTAGGATTGAATACTTTTTGTTTAACGAATCCTGGATCGACAACATAATAGATACCATCAATTGTTAATGATGTTTCAGCAATATTTGTTGCAATAACAACCTATTGAAATAGATATATGTAAAAAAAAAAACCTGGCCATTTGTATTTCTTTTATTAACATACTTTTCGTGAACCAGGTGGTGCTGGATCGAAAATTTTTGTTTGCATTTCACTAGGTAATGCTGAATAGACTGGTAAAATAATTAATTCTGGAACTTCAGGACCTAATGTTTTCATTCGTTCAAATAAAATTTCACATGCTGTATCAATTTCTTCTTGACCCGTTAAAAATACCAAAATGTCACCTAACAAATAAAAATTAATAAAAGTTCTTTTTGTTTTTTTTTGTAATCAATAATAATACATACCAGGTGGTTCAGTTAAATGAATTTGCATTACAGTAATAAGTGATGCATCAAGATAATCAGTTTCAGGTTCTTTTGTATAAAGTACTTCAACAGGAAATGTTCGACCCGGTATAGTAAAAATTGGCTATAGGAAATAAAATTAATATATTTAAATTAGAAAAATTTCTATAACTTACTGCTTTGAAGAAATATTCAGAAAATTTTACAGAATCAAGTGTTGCTGATGTAACAATTAATTTTAATTCTGAACGTTTTTGAACAGCCTAAAATTATAAATTGTTGATATATAATTTAGTTTAAAATAAACTATATAAAAATGTCAAGGTATTTCTTTTCTTTTTTATTTCTAAGTAATACCACCTATAAATTTATAACCTTTATTCAATGATAAATCAACATCGAAAAACATTATTCCATATGATTCAATTATTCTCAAGGTAATGAGATCATTAATCAAAGATCAGACGTCTCTTAAATGAAACTATCATATATCTTACAACCTTATGAGAGCTACTTTCTTGTCAGTGTAGTAATGTAAAACATAATTATTGTCAAACTAGTTACAGTTCACTATTGATTTGAAAAAAATTACATAATAGATAAGTACACTTTACGATACTAAGAATATTGTTCAACAAGAAAGTTATACTACTCAATTAACATGTCATCATTTGATTATTATTGTTTTCTTTTTGTCTTAAATAATATTGTTCAAGTTTAATTTTTATAACAACAATAGTTCATAATCAATGAAATAAGTTTATGATCATAGTAATTTTTATAATCATTCGAGAAATCGAAAAAATAAAAAGCTTAAAAATAATTGACATGATGATATTTCGCAACCATCATAATGAATTTTTTAGTTCAAAAGCAAGTTTATATCTGCTGAATTTTTTTGTTTTCAAAAATACGTTTAAAGATTATATCATAAATAATCAATTTATATGTGACTTACTTGTTTCATTAAACCAAAAAGTACATCAGTATGAATCGTACGTTCATGAGCTTCATCTAACATAACTACAGAATATTGATTCATATCTGGATCAATTAAACATTCACGTAATAACATGCCATCAGTCATATATTTAATTTTTGTTTCAGGTGATGTACAATCTTCAAAACGAATTGTATAACCAACTTCTTGTCCAAGACGACAACCAAATTCTTCAGCAACACGTTTTGCAACAGACATAGCAGCAACACGACGTGGTTGTGTACATGCTATACGACCACGTGATGTATAACCAGCTTCAGCTAAATATTGTGTTATTTGTGTTGTTTTACCTGAACCTGTTTCACCAATAACAACAAGTATTTGATTATCATGAACAGCTTTAAGTAATTGTTCTTTTAATTTATATATTGGTAAACTTTGTCGTTGTTCAATTATACTCATTGTTGTTCGTTTACCAAATGTTGTTTTATTATTCATTAATGATTTTTTCCATTCAGACATATTAGCTGATGCTTTAGCATTTATTTCAGCTGGTGTTAATAAACGTGATGTTGAATTATCT